CCCCCCCCCCCCCCCCCCCCCCCCCAAAAAAAAAAAGGACAAATGTAATTAGAAGTTTGACTTACTTTTTAGCTTGGCCAGTTTTGCTGTGGAATGAATTGATGAAGTGTATACTTAATGCAATTGCTTGCACCTAGTAATAACAAACCATCTTTCTCTTTTCTTTTCTGATTCATTATTTTCGTGTCATGTGTGGTTGGGGTGGAGGACGGGAGGGTTAATCTTGCATTCTTATGTTATACTACAGTACTCAAGTTCTCACGTGTGAATGTTCTACTATTACCTACTCCTTGGAACTCCCAATTCTTATATTATCAAATAGGCTGGGTTGGGTTCACGTGTACGAATGTTCTACTATTACCTACTCCTTGGAACTCCCAATGCTTATATTATCAAACAGGCAGGGTTGAGTTCTCACGTGTACGAGTGTTCTACTATTACCTACTTCGTGGAACTCCCAATGCTTATATTATCAAACAGGCAGGGTTGATTATTTTCTTTTGAGAACATGTTTTGTTTTTTGATTACGCTACATAAAATTAATTTTGTGAACTTGAGTCACATAGCTTTCAAGTCCTTTAATAGTTCATGTTCTACTTTTGCACATGAATTCTTCTACTTCACTTTGAATAGCTTTTGATACTTCTATGCCATTTTTTCCCCAAATTACAGGTTGTGGCAGGGTTCATGTCTCAAGTCATAGAGAAACCAATGTTTTTCAACCCAGCACAAATAGTTTTAACTGCTGGGGCTACTCCTGCCATTGAGATACTCAGTTTCTGCCTGGCTGATCCCGGAAATGCATTTCTTGCACCGTCTCCATACTATCCCGAGTAAGTTCCATTGCCTTTATTAACGGATGATGGTTCTTGTCATTGTTTATTTCGTTTCAACACTAATGAGAAAATTCAATGTGCAGTCTTGACAGGGATGTTAAATCGCGAACTGGGGTGGAGATTGTACCTGTTCCTTGCCGCAGTTCAGATAACTTCAGTTTAAGTACAACTGCTCTTGATCGAGCTTTCAACCAGGCCAAGAAACGTGGTCTTAAAGTTCGTGGGATAATCATTTCAAATCCTTCAACTCCTGTGGGAATTCTGTATAACCGTGAAATGCTTTACAGCCTCTTGGACTTCGCTAATGAGAAGAACATTCATATTATCTCTAATGAAGTATTTGCCGGATCGACACATGGAAGTGAAGAGTTTGTAAGCATGGCAGAAATCATCAACACGGAAGGAGAAGATTTTGACAGAAATCGAGTTCATATTGTTTATGGTCTGTCGAAGGACGTTTCTCTTCCTGGGTTTGG